CAGAGACTCAAGTTTCCCTAAACACCATGAAGAACCCGGTTTCAGGCTACTTGCGACTACTATGGACCGGTGCGGGGTCTTGCGTTTAGGCTTCAGGCTTCACTGCCTATGGGTTTGGGTTTGGGTGGAGGGTTTTAGGCTTCGGATGTACACTTTAGGGTTTGGCTTCATGGCTCAAAGCTTACGAAATAAAGTGTTTGTGTCATGACCCCTTCTCCTCCCCTGCTTGATGCTTTAGTTGCTAGAGGCGGAAAATTGTCGAATGCTGCATTATTTCATCTCAAACGATCACGAGGTGGTCTTCACATACTCAACGATAGAAGTGACAGATTCTCTTGTAAGGGCTGCATAGGGCGGCCAAGGGGGCTGGTATGTATGAGGGCCCTAGTTAGGGCTCGAGGAATGGTCTTAGAGTCTAGATTTTAGAGCTCACGGTATGTTGACGATGCTGACGGCTATTTCCATTGCTGGCGCCTTAGTCCTGTATTTTTAGAGCCATTGTACAAAAGCACGACCATTGTAGTTTGGACTGTTCTGTTGTGTTTTTCAATTGCGATATCGGAAGCTTTGAGCTTCAACACCAGTCAGCACCCCAAACTCTAAGGGCTGCTCTTTAAACCTTAAGTCCTGAACTCTGAGAATGCAGTTTCGTTTCTAGACATTTCTAGTCCTGCACGCTGTGGCACTCGTTCAGGTAGTGTAGGCTCCAACACCCCCGGCGTAGGAGCTGCTAACTCTCCGAGATTTTCGGGCTCAGGGGTTATAGGGTTCAGCATTTAGACAGAAACACCGGATCCAGGCATCACGTTACCACGACTACACTCCCTTTCGCTACAAGCCGAAGCCCCCAGTCTTAACCCGAAACCCTAACCCCCCTAAAGCCCTGTCTAAATCCGAACCCCAAGCCCCGCAGGCGCAGTGTTATACGACCGTAAGCAAGTTGTTTTGGGAGGTTTGGGGTTTGAGGTTTAACTTGGCAGCTTTCTCAATCGTAAAAACTGAACCCCGAAATCCTAAAGCCCTCAACCGTTGGCCTCTACCCTAGTCACTTACATGCCGCAATACGCACATGAAGGTGCTTTCGGCTTCGGCTTGGCCCCGACCTGCATGGTTCTGTTCTTTTGGGGCTTGAAAGCCTGAAGCCCGAAAGCCATGGACCGAAACTGCCTTTGGGCTTTGGGCTTGTCGTTGCTTGGCGACTGTCTACCCCCTGCGCGCGTCCTCACACAGAGCCCAGCACTTGCAGACTGGATTCTAGAATCCTCACTGCTGAACCCTACACCGAAAACTTGCGACCTAAACCCAGAACGACAAAATGCACTAAACACTTATACACCCAAACCAGACTAAATCACAAATCCCAAAAAAAACTAGGCCCAAAGTCGTAAACCACGCTGGAACCTAAACCCTACAGGCTTTGCGGTACTCCTCACAATTCGACTTCAATCTGGTCACTAGTCTTTGAAGCATTTTTTGCCAGAGCCGCAGGACGCCCATAAACCCCGTTAAGCGATCCAACATGCAGCTCAGCCCGGCAGTCTGACCAGTGTGCCTTCTTGGTGGCCTTGATTGTGCTTGCCTGCGTGTTGGAACGGGCGCCGGCAAAAGCCCTCAGCCCCAGACCCTCGTTCAGGGGTTTGGGGCTCTTTGGGTTGTTGGTTTGATGTTGCTTGGCGACGGTCTGCCTCCGTCCTCGCAGCCAGCAATTGTAGACTAGGTTCTAAATCCCCACTGTTGAACCCTAAACCGACAAACGCACAAAACCCTAAACACCAAACTGTGCTGAACCCTACACCCCCAACCAAGATTTAATAAACCAAAAAAAAACTAAGCTCCGAAAAGCCCCTCACATCTGCAGCGTGGCCCTGAACCCCCTAAACCCTTCAACCCTTCACCCTAAACCCTTTAACCCCAAACCCTGCCCACAGAAACCCCAGAGAGAGTGGCTTCGGGCTGTGGCTTTGGTTTAAGGATGCAAAGCTCAAGCCTAACCGATCTGAAAAGTAACCAATCTTAGGGTTGAGGGGGTAGGAATTACCCTGTTACCCCAAAAGGTTTGAGGTTGCCTGCGACTACTCTAGGCCTGGCGGGGGTCTTGCATCTAGGCTTCAGGGCTTTTTGGGGTGCAGGGTGATATGCTTCGGGTGTACGATTTGAGGTTTGCTTCAGTATGGCTTAGGGCTGCTTAGGGCCTACGGGCTACGGACTGAATCGTTTTTAGGCCCGGACTGCTCCGAGCAGCACTGGTGCAAGCAGTGGTGGTAATGGTGGCCGTAGCCAGCGGTGGCAATAGCAGTAGCAGTGTCGGTGGCAGGGGCAGTGGCAGTAGCAGTAGGAGTAAGAGCGGCAGTTGGAGTAGGGGAAGGAGTAGCCGTGGTAGCAGTAGCAGTAGTAGTAGTAGTAGTAGTAGTAGTAGTAGTAGTAGTAGTAGCAGTAGCAGTAGCAGTAGCAGTAGCAGTAGCAGTAGCAGTAGCAGTAGTAGTACTAGTAGTAGTAGTAGTAGTAGTAGTAGTAGTAGTAGTAGTAGTAGTAGTAGTAGTAGCAGCAGTATTAGCAGTATATAGTAGTAGTAGTAGTAGTAGTAGTAGTAGTAGTAGTAGTAGTAGTAGTAGTAGTAGTAGTAGTAGTAGTAGTAGTAGTAGTAGTAGCAGTAGTAGTAGTAGTAGTAGTAGTAGTTGTTGTAGCAGTAGTAGTAGTAGTAGTAGTAGTAGTAGTAGTAGTAGTAGTAGTAGTAGCAGTATATAGTAGTAGTAGTAGTAGTAGTAGTAGTAGTAGTAGTAGTAGTAGTAGTAGTAGTAGTAGTAGTAGTAGTAGCAGCAGTAGTAGTAGTAGTAGTTGTAGTAGTAGTAGTAGTAGGAGCAGCAGCAGTAAAAAGAAGAATGGCAGTACTAGCAATCAATACTAATAATACCATGATTAGGGTTGACAGCAACCCAGAGGATGGTGGGTGTTGGATGCACGATCTGCGTCTTCGGACTCAGGGCTCCTAGCAGGTCGTGCAGGGTTTGTGGGTTTCCTAGGCCCGAGGTCGAATTCGCGGATGTTAGAGCTTAGGATATTGGGTTTTGGGGTTTGTGGGCTAGGGCTAGGGTTTTTGCCTTCAGGCTTCCGATGTCGGGATTTTCCGAGCATACGCCAGAGCCGGCCAGGCCTTGCTGTCGCACGAAAAGCCTGCCGCTGAGCAACCGTGCACACTGCCCCAACATACCTCTTCAAGTCCCGGATCTGCTGTAGGATCTTGCACGCTATCTTTACGATTGCGGAGCTATGCCGAAGAACCGGAGCGCACTCGTTCTTGGAAGGTGTAATTGAGGGCAACAGTGCTTGGAGGAATGCAGCGCTACTTTGGATGTGCTTCTTCTTGACCCTCATCACCATCGTCGGCATCATCATCGTATCACCAGCAACATCCCCCGTGTTCGTCATCAGCTGCATCATGTTCGTCATCGCAACAATCATCACCATCATCATAAACATTATCGTCATCGCCGTCATCAATCATCAACAGCATCGAGACTGCGGGCTTTGCGTTTCGATTCCGCCGTGACGGGATAACTGAGTTGCTGAATGACGAAGTGACTCAGTGACTCAGTTGAACATCTTACAAAACAACTCAGGTACTCACCCCATCTTTTTCTTCAGTAAGTAAACAATGTCCGGCCCGGCCTGCTCACGGACTGGCGCTCCCAGACGGATTGGGCCACGTGGCTACCGTCAAGGAGAGAATGTTTCGAACCGAGAGGTTCCGGGCTTCGGGGGACGCACGGGGGATGGGCTTCTAGGTTCGGGGTTCAAACCCTGGGATAGAGCGGATCAAAACATGGTAGTACGACTCGTAAACGGATTCGTGGACCGAGCGGCTTTTACGGGCGGGGACAGCGTAACACCGCACTAACCCAACCCGTGGAGCCCTAGGTTCCAGCCCTTGAACAAAATACAAGTGCGCCAATCATCAGGACACGGTTTGACCCGCACCGAGCTCCAGAACCTCCACCCTTTCGCGTTGTGAGCAGGTGTAAGTAAGACGCATCCCTCGTAGAGGTTACAGTAGCCGTTTCCACAAGGTCCTGGTGATACTGTTTCCTTGCTCAGGGACTGTTAATGTAAGTCGGTGATTGACCCAGAATCAAGGCTTGCTGCCTCTGGGTTGGCTTCGAGGGGTTAAGATGTAGGGCTTTTCTGTGCGAAGAGCCAGAACCCTGAAATCCCGAAAGCCATGATACCAGTGAAGGGTTTGAGGTTGAGGGTTTTGAATACTTAAATTCGAACCAAATCCGAAGCCCTGCAAAGTTGAACGCGACGCCAAGGAAAAACATCAAAGACCCTAAAGCTTCTCAACACCTATCCAACAAAAACCCCTGGGCCCTAAGGCACCGCTAAGGCCCTCAAGAATCCCCTAAACCCTGGGCCATCTGCTTTCTCTACGGTTAGAGCCGGAGTTCTGGTCGTTGAGCCGACCCCTGGGCTTTGTGGGCTTGGGGATTTAAGGTACAGTATGGGTTTGGGAGGGTTTAGGGTTCAAGGATGTTTAAGGTGTAGGGTTTGGAGTTTAAGCTTCAGGCCTTAACGAAGTCGGTTAAATCAAGGTTGCAAAGATTCTTATCCCAGAGTGCTATCGCAAGACTTTCGGGTCTAGCCCAAGTAAAGGTTCAGGTGGTTAGGGGTTTAGGGGTTGTCTTGGGGCCTGTGGGCTTTAGGGGAAATGTACTTCGAGGCTTCACTTCAGTCTTGGGGTTGACGGATTCGGGGTGTGGGTTCGGGGGAAACGTGGATGGAAGTGGGGAGGGTGGAAAGGGCCTAGTGTTTAGGGTTAGTTTACGGTTGAGGGATGTTGAGGGCTTGGAAATCAGAGCTAGGGATCTTTACAAGTGGAGTGTCAGACAAAGCACGAAGCGGCATCCAGCTGCATGACCTCCATGGCGGCGAAGAAAAAGCAGGCCGCAATCCATCCGATGTCGGCATTCACGAGCGCCGCAGGAAACAGCGGGCCGGAGTCGACATCACCCTGCAGCTTGGTCACCTGGAAACCCTAAACCCTGAAACCTAAGCCGGCTTAAGGTTTAGAGTTTAGTGTAGCGTTTAGGGTTTAGGGACCTGGATCCATAGTCCAAGGCACCCAACCCGAAGTACCCGGTCCTTCAGTTTATGAAATCAGACTCAGCGGCTCTTCTTTGAGGGTCTCCACCGCAAGGGAACTCGGCCAAGAGCTTCGAAACGATGAACCTGCGAGGATAAGATCAGAGCTAGTCACTCAAAGGGTGCGGACACCCGCAAGACGGGATCCGCAGTAGGGGGAGCAACACAGAAGAAACCTTGTAGTAGCCTCCGAGAAACCCTCATACCCTTAAAGTAACTTTATGATACCCTGCGATCCTCGTCGCAGACCTCGGCCAAAGTCGCCATCCCAGCAGACTCTTCCTGGCCGGGTTCAGCAACCGTGAGGCCAAAGACCCGCAGGCCATCTTCGCGCAACAGCTGAAGCTCTTCCAGCAGAGGAGGGGAAGGTGCCTCCACCTCACCATCGGTGACGAGCAAGATGTCAGCCGTGCGCCACTCGTCTCGCAGCCGCCGCGCACTGGCAGCCAGGGGCGTCTCCAGGTCTGTCCCGCCACCGAAAGATCTGCTCAGGAACGCGAGAACATCCTGCCAAGCTGGCGCCGGAATGGGTGCCAGTGGGACTTCCAGCTCTTCAAGGTCATCTGGGCCTGAGAAGAAGTAGAGGTAGCAGGGACGCCTCTCGGCTTCAGCGAGCATCAAGACTTCCAGCACGGCTGCCTTGGCAATCGCCTCTCTCCTAGTTCATGGTTGGGATAGGATCAAAAATTTACATGTTTATTCCTTATTGGATTTAAGTACGCATAAAAATGTAAAATGTTACCCGACTATGACAAAGTCTCCTTCCCGCCATGCTCCGAGAGGTGTCCACGCAGCAGATCAGGGGTCCCCTCTCCTGGGCCGGGCGGAACTCCCTCCACTTCAGCGTCTCCGCCTCCTCCTCGACCCAAGCGCTGCGCTCGTAGCTGAGCCTGGGCTCTTGTTAAGGAGTTTAACTTAAGCTACCATAATGGTAATAGGGATCTATATGGGTGGTTGTCAAAATTCTTGTCTATTTTTGGAGGTCCTTAATATACTACGGCACCTAAGAATTAGCTAGGGTACCCAACAAGGGACCATAATTTTGACAACTATCCATATATTAATGGTATCTCAACCTAAATCCCTTAACAAGAACCCTGGAGTTGGTTTAACTTAAGTGACCATTATAGAGATCTATGTAGGAATGGTATCTTAGCCTAAATCCCTTGACAAGAACCCAGGAGCAGGGTTTAGGGTACCATAATAGAGATCTACATAGGAATGGTATCTTAGCCTAAATCCCTTGACAAGAACCCAGGAGCAGGGTTTAGGGAACTTAAGTGACCATTACAGGGATCTACACAGTAATGGTATCTTAACCTGAGTGCCTTAACAAGAACCCAGGAGCAGGGCTGCCTCAGCGCGCCTGAGGCGGAAGAGCGCCCGGGCGCCCGCGGAGCTTTGCCGCGGCGGCTGGGCGTTCGCGTAGGCCAGGAGGGAGAGCTCGCTGGGCAGCAAAAGCCTAGGCTTAGGGCTTAGGGCTTAGGGATTAGGGCCTAGGGCTTAGGGTTTAGGGTTTAGGGTTTCCCATGGTAAGCGGCGCGCCTCGACCCAGAGGGTCGCGGGGCGGCGCGCCGAGCTGGACGCGACATCCCACCCCAAGACCACCCAGACATTAAATCTATTAGGGTTTAGGGTTTTTCTTATGGGGTTTGGACGACGTACAACGTACCCTTAGCGTTGAAGTCTTGCTCATAAGCTTTCGTCGGGGGGCCGTTACCAGCGGTACTGAATGTTTGGTGGAGCGCAGGGCGCCGTCCGTACGGGCAGTTCCGGCGCCGTCCGTACGGGCAGTCGGAGCCGCCCGAACCGGCCGTCCGTACGGGCAGTGGGGTCCGCCGCCGTCCGTACGGGCAGGTTGCTGCCAAACCGGACGGGCTTCTAAGGGTGTCCATCACTAAGAAGGCAAAGATAGGGGAGCACCGTCCGTACGGGCAGTGTGGGGACAGTGGGGTCCAGTCTGCGGTCCACGCCGTGGTCTCCTTCATTAAGAAGGCAAAGATAAAGGAGCGCCGTCCGTACGGGCAATCGGAGCCGCCCGAACCGGCCGTCCGTACGGGCAGTGGGGTCCTCCTGCACGCGCCGCCGTCCGTACGGGCAGGCGGCTGCCAAAGTGGCCGTCCGTACGGACAGGCCTCTAAGGGTGTCCTTCACTAAGAAGGCAAAGATAGGGCAGTGGGGTCCTCCTGCACGCGCCGCCGTCCGTACGGGCAGGTGGCTGCCAAACCGGCCGTCGGGAGCGCCGTCCGTACGGGCCCGTCCGTACGGGCCGTCCGTACGGGCGCTTGGCGCGTACAGGGGCCCTGCATTTGGTGTACAGAAGAATACACGGCCGCTCGAACCGGCCGTCCGTACGGGCAGTTGGCTGCTTTTCGGAAATCTGGAAAACTGAAGCTGATTTTGGAGTATTAAATTCTTTTCATAAAATGTATATTTTAAGCTAGGCCAGGCGCCAATCTCGAGGTCCCCTCCTTTCTTTTCATGTGGCTACTCTAAACCATGCCCTCTCCTCCATAAGGAGACTGGGGCCAGCCTGTGAGCTGTCAGGGAGTACACACGCCGCCGTCCGTACGGACAGTTGGGTCCAGCTTCAAGACTTCACAAGCCAGTTAGGATCCCGACCCTAGGGTTTAGGGTATTAAAATATACTATTATTTATTTTCACGCTGGAAGCGTAAATGCACCCTCCGAAGTGAACGAATGCGGGTACGGAGCACGAAGCTAACTCTTCGCGCTCAAGCTGCAAGCATTAAGCATCCGTTCTTGAAACGGATGCCGGTGCTCAGCGCACGTGCGCTGGTGATGCCATAGGCTCCTAGACGTCGCGACAGGCATCACCAGCTTTAGTTTAGGGCTTAGTGGGATTATGAAGGCGCACCCTAAACCCTTTGTTCCTACTATCTACATATTTGGTTTCAAATTTCGGGAAGCTAGGAAGAGCCTAGGCTTTTTGTTCCACCTATCTAGGAGCCTGATTAAGACACCTTGGGTTTTCTCAGGGTTCCTTTTACGAACCCTATTATATTGGAGTTACAGGGCCAGGGTTTCTGATAATTATCATGCATTGTTTAATTTTAAACTAAGGGAAGCTAGGAGCAGGCTGCCATCGGAGCGAGTGATGCCCGAGGTCTCGAAGGGGCTGCGGTCGGAGCGCACGACGCCCTCGGCCTCTTTCGACTTCGCACGCTGGGCCCGGTCGAAGCGCAGGGAGGCGTTGAGGCCGCTGCGCCGACCCATCCTGGGCTCTTGCTAAGGGATTGAATTTAAGTTGCCATAATGAGGATCTATAGTAACTAATACGTTAATACGGTTTCCTATTATGGTAACTAATTAATATGGTTTCCTATTATGGTAACTTAAGTTAAATCCCTTAACCAAAAAGGATCCTATGATGGAAACTTAATTAAAATCCCTTAACAAGAGCCCAGCATCCTCTTCACGAGGCTCTTCAACTCAGGAAGTCGGCCCAGCATCTTCCTGAGCACCAGGAGGTGCTCCCAGCCCACGGGCTCGGACACAGTGCCCGGCTCCGTGCCGGTGCATGCGGCGAAGGACTCTTTCCTTACCGTTAGTAGGGAATGGAAGAATGGTAGTAATATAATAGCAATATGGCAGTAATTTGGTAGTAATAGTAGTTATAATTATACACCATTCCTCCATTCCCTACTAACCAACGGTAAGTTTCGAAGCGGACTCCGAGCCCTCCTCGGAATCCGAGGGCGCCCAGGACTGCAAGCGAGGCTTCGCGGCCTCTGCCGCCAGCTCCCGCCAGGTCTCCACAAACTGACGCGTCAGCTGCTCTGCCAGCGACTCCTCCGACCCACTGCCCTCCCCCTCTCCATCTGCCTCGAGCTGCTGCTGCGAGCCATCGGCACTTTGCCCCTCCTGGTCCTCCTGGATGCTCTGCAAGTTCTCGACTTCGCCATCTTTCGCGGCGTCCTGTCGCGCAAACGCTGCTTTCCAGACAGGCTCGCAAAAGAAGCCCTTCCTGTCTGGTGCAGAGACCCACCCCCAATTTTCCGCAGCAGAATGCCATCCCCGAGCAGGTCTCCGATGGAATTTCTAGCAATCGGAGCAGCAACACTCTGAACTCTAGCCTTTCAACAAATAAGGAACACCAGCGTTGAGGCTTCAGCTTCGAGGCAAGTAATTACGCATGTCCAGTATGTGTAGATATTAGATCTACGCATATATATATATATATATACAAATACATTTTCTGTGTATATACATATGTACACATAGACATTCGCTCTTCTGTTGATGTCGTTTATGCAAATACACAATGCAAGGCTTCAATTAGAGTCAACAGGCTTCGTGAAGCCTAGAGTGTATCCAAAACCCTCAAACCCTAATGCTCTAAATCACAAACCCCGATATGCCGCATTCTACTGCCCTAAAGCCTAAACCCCAAACTTCAAACTAAGCCCTAAAACCCTCAAACCCAAGCCCCAAAACCCAAACCTTGAAACCCTGAACCCCAGAACCGTAAACCCCTAAATCCAGGATCGAAAGGCCTCCTCACCGGAGTCGGTATCTGAGATGGACCTTGCGCTGACCTCTGCAGCTGCAGCTTCCTGGGCTCTTGCAACTTACGGTTTCGATTCTCGGGTTTCGGGTTTAGGGTTTAGGGTTTAGGGGTCTTAGGCTTTAGGCTTTAGGGTTTAGGGTTTAAGGTCTAGGGTTTAGGGTTTAGGGTTTTAGGCTGTAGGGTTTGGGGTTTGATGGGGCTTTTGAAAGGGGCTTCAAAGGGTTTCACTCGGGTATCATAGAGGGCTCATAGGGTATTTACAGTGTGTGGGTTAAGCAAACCCATGCAAGGTTCCATGAAAGTTGACTTACTTAAGTTACCAGAGTTACGAAAGCACGGTAGTTGCTGTAATATAGACGCCTAGATCGTTACCCATACTATTGTAGTTATAGTAGAAAAACCCACAACCCTATTCTAATTATCAAGGCCCCTATAGTAGACCTCTACTATGGCAACTCAAACGACATGCCTTACCAAGAGCCCAGAAACTCCGATCTCCCTCAAGCAAGGAACATTCCTTAAATTATATTACGGAGACTATTCTGACTTCGGGTAGTTCCTTGATGAAGGGATGATATTGCAGTCCCCTAAACCATAAACCCTGTAGATCCCCTTGAAAAAACCCTGAAAGGAACTTTTGGTAGATCCGTTTAAAGGAAGCCTATGTAGATCCTTTGAAAGAAACGCTCGGAGTCTCTGGGAGCCCAGAATCTGATGGCTCGGCATCAGAGCCGTCTCCGGACTCTTCTGCCGTGCTGGCACTGGAAAGGAAGGACCACAGGAAGGGGCTGCTGTTTGATTGCCTGGGTTCCCCGGTAGCCCCTTGCTGTACTAGTTCGTTTTGAACAAGGGAACACAAAAAGAGAAAGTGCAAAAAGGCACTACTCAGGAACCTAGTTGCGAATCCCCGTCGCTTTCAGAAGCTTTCACCGCCTTCTGAAAAGTCTCCACAGCTTGCAGGACGTTCAGCAGAACCGTGTCGACCAGCTCGGGCTGCTCAGACAACAGCGTCGGAAGATCGATGTCCTGAATACCCATCAAGAGCTGTCTGCGAAGTGGCTCGGGAGGCCAGGTATGCTTGCCTATACTGAACTTAGAACCCTAGCAAAAATTATTGTTTTAGCTGTTTCTTAGGGGTTTTAATAACAAACAATAAAAAATCATTTCTAAGTACCCCTAAGTTGCTGTCTTCGGGCACCTGCCCCCGAACTAAAGAGGAGCGCCACTCACTCAGACCGTCAACCGCGGCCTCCACATCCGCCGGTTTGTCGCAGCTTCGCGCCAAAGCTGCCCTAAATGCAGCTAACCTAGGTTGGCCCTTTAAAGCCTCTGAAAAATATTCTAGGGTCCTTGTAAGCCCGATAAGGGAAAATACAAACTGTCCCAAAGGCCTACCTAGTAACTCTGCTGGCATCTGCAAGAGAGCATCCGTCACGCTGAGCTCCTGGCAGTCTTCTGTCGCGTGGCGGGAAGCGCGCTGCCAGCCGCAGCCGCGCCTCCTACAAGCCAGGGAGCCCCAAACCGCGGCCGCAGCAGAAATCGCTTCCCTCCCGTCGAACTCACCAGCACGCAGCTGACAAAGAGGGGTTTTATACGAGCCCACAAGGGGGCTGGGGCTTCTATACAACCTCTCTTTGGGAGCCCTGAGCCCCGATGGTAACCGCGACGTGCCCAGGAGATGCGGCTCAAGCCTTGCCACTTCCATGCTTCCTACTACACTACAGAAGGAAGGGTTTGGGTTTAGGGTTTAGGGATTATACAGCAGGAAGCTGCGTTCTGTTAGGCAACTATGGGCTAGTAAAGGGGGCGACTGTCCGGATTCTATAGAAGGAAGGAGGCTGCATTCTACTTGGCTACTGCAAGGGGGTACTACAAGGTAGTATAAGTTACAGTCTACTACCGTATAGTACTCCTTACAGGGTTCGACAAGGGGTTTAGCCACGGTTGCAACTGACGAAGACGCATCATTACGCATAAATGCAATCCAATTTGTCGGAGATTCTATCGCGGATCTGCGCATCGCAAATACTCGCATATCAGACCGAGAAGCTGCGATTTTCAAGAGGTCCCTTTATCAGCGGCTTTGTGTAAGCTACCAGGTAGGGAGGACAGCTGGACATGCTGGAATCTTGGTTACAGCAGCATCCGGCAGCCATGTAGAATCTCCTGCAAAGTCCAGCTTCAGCTTCGGAGACTCTGTCCGCTCGGCGGCACTCACTTTTTGTCAGGATGGTGCGTCAGGCTCTCTGTCCACTATGGATCTACGGCGACAGGCTTCGCACTGTCGCACTTATCGCTTCAAAAGACACCCCGGCAGCCTACGAGCACAAGAAGCCAACAATATGCATCTCAAAATCAATATAGACATATATATATATATATATAATTATATGTATACATAGATAGATAGATAGATTGATATATTAGCATATACATATATACATATAAACCTACATACATAGATAAATACATACATACATCCATACAGTGTATATATATATATATATATACACAGATCACAGATATATAGCCGCAGCTTTGCTCCTGCGACCTCGCGAAAAGGCGTGAAGTCGGCTGGACCTGTGCTTGGTGTCGCTGCAGCATGCCTGAAAGCACATTAACACGACGGCCGAATTGCTTCAGGAGCTTGTGTCCCAGAGGCATCGTTCAACGATTGCTGAGCGGCATCGGCGTTTCCTGCTGGACAAGTCGCCCCTCAAAACTCACACACACACACACAGACACACATGAGTCCTAAATCCCAAACTAGAGTCCTTCTGCGGCAGTCCAGGAACCACCAAGAAGACGAAGGAGCTGCCACCCAGAAGGAGCA